AGTGTAACTGGGATATCATTTTCCCTGGTCAGCCTGAGCTCTGCAGGTGCTACTTACCTGGCAGTATCTCCAACCTGGAAGCCATATGCTATGTAAGAAATTACTTCATTTGGTTGGCCATAGACTCTTCCTCTAAGCCAAGAACTTCAACAACCTTGGTAGTGGTGCGTGAGACTGGCAAAGAAGACAATCATAGAATAGGAATTGTCTTAGAAGTCCTAAAATGATAAAGAAATTTTAAGAATATGCACATGATTCTGTTAAATAAGTTTACTTGTGCATTTATTAATTAGATACTTATACAGAGCTTAATAGTGCCAGGCATGCATTAAGTTCCTAAAAAATTTTAATTGTCACAATAATCCAATGAGACCTGTAGTATTGCTATTCCCATTTGACAGATAAGGAAATTTAAGAACAGAGAAGTAAAGTAACTTATCCAGTCACATAGTTCTAATTTGTGTAACCGGGAAAGGAATCAGTGTACTCTGTGTGTTTAATCAAATCACTGTGTCATTTTCCTAGTGAGGTGCCAAGTGCTTATTGATAGGAAGTGGGATTGTTACATTCAATGCCTTTTAGGATTGAACTCACTGACTTTCCTTTATTACCCACTATTATTGTGTCTTACAATGAGAAAAGAACATAAGAGAAGAAAAGGGTTGCTCTCGTCTTCTCCCTTATTCCTTTGCTTGACTTTTCATCTAGTTCTTCTTCCCTTCTTGGTCAGGGAGGTGCAACCATTTAGGTATCAAGGTTAAACACTTAGATTTTACAAGTATTTCAGGAGTACTCTGGGAATAAAACTGAACTATGAAAAATTGAATTCTCGCATTTATTTTGCTTACACTGGCTGTGTGACTCTGGAAAATCATAACCCCTCTGGACTTGTGATTTTCAACTGCACAAAGAGACACTAGACTAGAATAATGCTAAGCTTCATGGAGTTCAGATATTCCATGATTCTATAATATAAATAAACCAAATATTTTAGTAAGTGTTACTAAAATGTTGATAAAATAACTTAAAATGACTGAGCTAATTCCAACTCCATGTATTTCAAAACAAGTTCTTTCCTCATTTTTAGTTTTTGTTTATATAAATGTTCTTACTTGTTACCCAGAAGGTGAGGAAAGCTTCCTACTGCCTGACCAGGTTTTACTTTATTTTATTATTTTATATTGTTTTATTTTGTTTCTTCACAGTGTGAATGTCATAATATAAATCAGAGTAGTCCAAAATAGTGCAAAGCCTGTCAAGATTTTTTTGAGGAAATTCACAGGAACTTCCTGTATTTTCACAACTATTTAGCATATGCCAGATGGAAAAAATAATGCATTGCTTCCCCAGGAAGTGGGACTTTAATAAGGCAGCTTTTCACACATAAAAATTCTGTCTTTTATCTCTGAACCATGCATGGATCTATGAAGGGAAAAGTTGCCATGAATCTGCAAGGCTTTTGTGGTAAGAAGTCACTGTACAAACAAGAGGAGAGCTTATTTAACCTGTTGTGTGTAAATGTTCTTATAGATGTTATGAGAACTGAAAGAAGAAACAGAAGTCTCCTGCTCCGTTTAAAGAGATTAGGTATCTAAGAAAGCAACATGATGGCTGCATGTTAAACTCTGGTGATGAGAAATTGGGAGTGTGAAATGGTGTACAAGAAATGCCAGCAGTTTTGAAGACTCTTTCAAAGGATTCATTTGAAGCCACTGACATCTTATACAACTTGGAAGCAGACTTTTGACTTACAGAATCCTCCTCTGGGGGTTTGGCCACCAATTTCTACTGTGGTTTCTCATCTTCTTGTTATCATCTCACTTCATTGTAAAAGGTTCACAACCCTCTGTTTTGGGACAAAAAGAAGTTCACCAGGCTTTCGTATGGTGGCCCTGAGGCTCCCCTTGACAAGAGACCTCTCCATCAAAGTCAGGTAATACCTTCCAATCATCCAAACCTCCTCCTTCTCTCACAGCTCATATCCAATCCCTCAGACAATTCTCTGCCTTTAAATCACATGGAACCTGACCACTCTAGTCTTCCTCCTTTGCTTCATTTGTGACCTGAGCCATCTTCATCCCCAGTCTGTATTTCCACAGCAGCCTCTGAACTGTTGTGCAGATTCTTCCATTGCCCACTCCCTACCCACAGTTCCAGTGATCTGCTGTGTAACAGTCCTGCCCTAAACTTAATGTTTTTTTAAAAAAAAGACACATTTGATTGATTCTCATGAATCTGTCAGATGGACATGGGACTAGACTAGATTGATTTATCTGAGGCCTCTCATGTGGCTGCATCGGATGGAGATGAGGATAGAGTGTCCAAGCTGGCTTCCACGCACTTTGCTCCTTAGTAAGCTCAACTTGTCTGGGTTTAGCTGGGCTGAGCTGGGACATCCAGGCCTCTGTTTTTCCTCATATAATTCTCAGGGCTTCTTCTTTTCTACTTGGTCTCTTCACATGGGTTATATAACAGGGTAGCAGAACTTCCAATACAGAATCTTAAGGCTTTTACAATTTCTAAATCTGAAGATACCAGGTCTTGGTAAGCACTGAATCACTTCCACCAACTTCTTTGCTTAAAGCCAATTCTAGGGCCTATATCTGATGCCTTAGGAGACTCTGAAAGCTGGGTGGTAGACTGGTTCATTGGTGACCACCTCTGGATTCTACAGATCACAACCCCTACAGCCTGTTCTGAATACAATATTGGGAAATAACTTGTTAAGTATATGTGAAACCACAGCTCTCTGTTCAAAACTCACCCATGATTTTTGGTGTCAAAGTACAAACCAAAATCTTGACAATGGCATGCAAGACTCATACTATCTGCCCCTTGGCCCTCTGAGTTCATGTTTTTCCACCCTTCTCCTCACTGAGTCTTTGGTCACACTGGATTCCTCACTTTCTCTAGAATTTTCCATCTCCTGGCTTAAGGAGTAGTCTCCAGATATCCATATGAATTACTCCCTCACCTCCATTTGGTACTTACAGAAACAGCACTTTCTCAATCCTGACTCCCCTATCTAAAACTGTAACTCAAACCTCCTTATTCCTAAAATCCCCTCCTAGCTTTATTTTTCTCTCATTGAAAATAACCATTGAACTTATTACATATTTTACATTATGGTTCAGATATGCGGTGTCCCCCAAATGCTCACGTGTGAGGCAATGCAAGAAAATTTAGAGGTGAAATGATGGAACAATTAAAACCTTAACCTAATCAGTGCATTAATCCCCTGCTAAGGATTAACTAGGTGGTGACTCTAGGCAGGTAGGGTGTGGCTGGAGGACATAGGTCATTCATTGGGGGCATGCCTTTGGAGTTATATTTTGTCCATGGTGAAGGGAGTTTTCTCCCGCTGCTTCCTGGTGCCATGTCCTGACTGCTTTCCTCTGCCATATGCTTCTGCCATGGTGTCCTGATGTATCTATAGCCCTGAGGAATGGGTCATTCATCTATGGACTGAGACCCTCTAAAACTGTGAGCCCCAAAATAAACATTTTCTAATTTTTCTTTTCAGATCTCCTGGTCACTGCAGTGATAAAGCTGACTGAAACATTTTACTTCTTAATTTCCCCACTCTCCTATTTTATTGTTCTCCCCATAACAGGATGGCAGATAAAAAAATATATATAACTCCTGGACTTTAGGAGTTTTACCTGTTTAATCCATTGATATATCACCACTATCTAGAAAAAGACCCTCACATAGTAGAGATTCAACAGCTATGTATTGAATGATTGAGTGCCGGCGCCCTTCCCCATTTCATACTCCTGCTTCTTTTGTGCACCTCTGAGCTCTGGACCCCTGTTTGGCTAAAAGTGTGCTGATGACTGCTCAAAGGAAACCCCCCAAACTTGAGACTTAAAAGACCCATTTCCAAATTTATATAAAAAGTTGCAATGTTGTTGGGAGGATATGTATGGGTTTTGGTGACATACTGTACAACTAGTCATTAATTCTTAGTGTGATTATAAATGTACCAATAAAGAAACCATGTGAGATTGTGTCTGCTCAGGTTCTGTACAGTGCTCAAGAAAAAGGAGAACAAACCATCTTGGAAAGGTGGGTCTTGGCTGGGAACCCAGGGTTTGCCTTGAAGAGAAGTAGAAAATCACACTAGTCAAGCCAGGGACTTCCAGATTACAAAGCACTATGAAAATCAGAGTCCTTCAAACCGGGAATTGGCTAAGCTTAGGAGATGGACAGCCAGTAGTAATGGCCATCAATTAGTGGACTCTGGGAACTGAGCATCACTTATAGATTATCACTGATCCTCACCACAGTGCTTCAGAAAGTTACTAGTACTTTCATCTTCCAAATGAGGAAACTGAACTTCAGCAATTTCAGGTTACATAACCAGTCAAGATCCAAAATAAAATGCAATTTATTTTGTGTCTCCCTGTACCCTTTATTCTATACTGTCTTCACCTAGTTAGGCTACCTAACTGCCTCCTTTAACTTTTCAAAAACAATACCACATCTTAACTATGAAACTGGAGGCAAGAGAGAAGAGCAAATGACTTACGAGTGGAATAATGAAAGAATCTATTGTTCCCCAATTCTATACATACACAAACACACATACACAAACACACACACACACACACATATACACACCCCTATATTAAGCATATATATATATATATACACACACACACATATATATATATATTAACTTTCAGAAAATTATTATTTAAAGGTACATAAAAGGTCTTATTAGAAAATTAGAACTTACTTTTCACATAATGTTTACCCTTGTTGCTTTCCTGACTACCAAAATTTTAGAGCTTTTAAAATTCCAACTACTAGTTTGAAAATGCAGCTTTTGGCAAGTAGGAGAATCAGTTCTTTCATACAATAGTGAGACACCAATATTTTATTCCCTTTGGTCTGCCTGCATTCCTGATCTTAACGAGGGCAGGCCCATGGATTCACTGAGCTGAGAAGTGGTGAGCTCCATGTAACCAAACTATTCACCAGAAATGCTAAGAACACTCAGGATGCCTGCATTCCATCAGAGATCAAGCCAATGGATCTCAATCATCAGTTCCAACTTTAAGATTCCATGTTTCTTTCTGAGGTCTTGATCAAATGTGCAAGGTTTGTATAGGAAATTGTAACTTAGTTTATTTGGAGAGTAAAATACATAAAACAGAGGAGTAAAATAAAAAAAAAAAGCTAAAAAAGTGAATGGGAGACAGAATAAAATGGTTTATGTTAAAATTTTAAGCAAGAAAAAAAAGCTGTTTAATTGCTTTTAAGTAGAAAATATTTTTAACCAATAAAATCCATTAAAGAACAGAGCAGGTGTCACAGAATTTGAGTTTAGAGAGACTATGTGACACTAGAAATTCCTGGTACAAAATGAAGAGTGAGCTAAACCTTGTAACTTGAAATTTGGTTTATCAGATTTCTGAATCTATTTACATTGTTGGAATTACATGAAAAAAAGGCTGATAGAGCTTTAAGATCACCTGATAAATATGCCTCAGAGAAAATACGGTATCTTTGCCAAGCTTTATTATTATTTTTAATGTTTATGTTGATTTAAATGGTTGAGGAATGAGTTTCTGTTCAATTGCTATAAAATAAGATCTTGTATAGGCAAAGATGAAGTATGTTGGCTAATTTTTCATGTTCACTTAGAGAATGTAAATGGTCAGCACAAATTTCCTGTTATATACCAAAGGTAATACTTCTATGCATTTCATCAATTCTTTTTTTTCTTCTTTACCTTAAGTATATTGTGTTACTCAGCATTCCTTATTATAATGAAATACTTGAGGCAGGCTACTCTATAAAGAAAATGGGATTATTTTGGCTGCTCTTTAGAGGCTAGAATTCCAAACAGCCTGGTGCAAGCCCTCATAAGGGTGCCCCTTAGCTGTATCACATAATGGAATTAGTGTGTGTGTATCTCTATATGGTCTCTTTCCTTCTGTTGACAAAATCACCATTATTCATTCATAAGGGCTCCACCCTAATGACCTAATCATTTTCTAGAGGCACAACTCTAAATACCATAGTTAGATTAAATTTCCACTGCCTTAATACCATTATAATATTAATACTTAATACCATATATAACATTCACCATTAGGAATTAAACTGCTGGACAAACTGCACTTTTGAGATATAATTTACAAACCATAAAATGTGTCCATATTAGATCTATAATTCAACAAGTTTCAGAAAATTTCCATTGCTGTGTAACTATTAGCACCAGTTTTAGAATATGTTCATCACCCTCAGAAGTTCTCTTATGTGTATTTACAGCCCATCACTGATCCTACCCCTGGCAACTAGTCATTAATTCTTAGTGTGATTGTAAATGTACTGATAAAGAAACCATGTGAGATTGTGTCTGTTCATGTGAGAGAAAGTAAGACCAAGAGACACACACACATACAGAAAAGTTATGGATAGATGAAATAAGAATCATCAAACTAATTCTATATATTTAACCTTTTTCATAATGTGGGAGTGTCTAGAGCATACCCGGGTACTCTAGAAAATGCAAAATCCTCTTTGTCCATTTTGGGTGAGCATTACCTCACAAAATTTATTCACTTTTTTGCACATATTTCTTTGCTTTACTTTCTTAAAGAGTTCATCATATCCATTATTGGATTTGATTTATTTCTCTAATACATTCTAAATGAGAACTTCTCTTTCACTTTCAAGTACTGTTAACATGATACTTAATCTCTCTTACATATATATATATATATATATATGTAAATACATATATACATATACACATATATATACACACACATAATTTTGTTGTCCTTTCTAAAACCTCATGATTATGAGATTTTTATATCTTGAAATATTGACCTAGTAATGTTCATACATTTTTATTTTCTAGTACAAATCCTACTTGGTGATAAATAACTTCATTTAATTCATTATGACATTTTATTGCTAGTTAATATTGTAACTACTGCTATAATATCTATATCATGCTGTTTTATTTTTGTAAGAGTGTGTTCTGTTTTCAGTACAAATTATGCTCACCAAGAATTGGAAAACTTCCTCACTCCATTTTTTTTTTTTAATGAAGCAGTTGAAGAGCTGGGAATCATTCTTCCTTGAGACAAAATATGAAAGAATACACCTATACACCACCTGGATCTGGAAACTTTCCTAGAAATAATGTTTTCTGTTATATGCCTTTTATGGAGAAGCTAGACCAAAATATATAAAAAGTGGGGAGCATGAAAATAGAAGAAAGATAAGTGGAATAGGGGATAAGTACAGGGAAATGAAAGAGGGATAGAAAAAAGAGAGATGAAATGAGAGAGTTTGACCAAGATACACACACACATACAGAAAAGGTGGAATGAAGCTGAACAAAGTATACTAAGTACATAAACTAATATACCACATGCATTTCACCTTGAAGTATATCTACAAAGCATCAATTTAAAAAACCTCTAAATGAATACAGTAGAAAGGGAACAGGGTGAGGAAGGAGGGGAGAGAAAGCAGAAGCACTGGGGACCGAAGTGGAGCAAATTACATGCCATACATGAATGATTACATCAAAATGAACCCCAATATTCTGTTTAACTATAATGCACTAATGGAAACAATTTTTAAAAGTACTAAAAAAGAAAAGGAATTTCTTGCAAGGTCTTTTTTCTGTTTCTCTTTGTTGGCCCATCAGATGTTATATTTTCTCATGATTTATTCAGTGATTTATGTTTTTCCAGAAACATTCTCTCAAATAAAATTTTAAAGTATATTGCAATAATTCTCATAAAAATTTTCCTTTTTATTCATTATTATGGGTGCTTCTGTGTCTTTTTTCATTCCTCCCCTTGAATAAATTTATCTAAAATATGATCTTTTTATTTCTTTAATATCTAGTTCCTTGATTTATCAGTTGACTGGCTTTTCTATCATCTATGAGTTTGAGTTCTGCTTTTTATTTATCATTTTCTATGTCCAATACCTGTTAAACTTATTTTATTATATATTTTCAAACAGCTGGAGTTTAATACTCATTTACTTTATGTTATACTTTCTGTTTTATTAACAATACTATTAAAGACATTAATTTGCCTCTGAAAAGTGCTTTGTCACAGTCCCAATTTTAATTAAAATTGTTTAGTTTTTAGAGCATTTTTAGGTTCATAGAAAAATGGAACATAGAAT